GAAGTTCAAACAAGTGTTCATTTGGATTTGGACCAGTAATCAAAAAGAACACCTGGACCTTCAAGGGGTGTCCTGGCTGGAGGTCCCTAAGTAGTGTAGGGGCTTCCATTGCTGACCCGCTTGAAGGGTCTGGAAATGGTTATGTTTTTTGTTTTACCTATTTTGTTTATCGTGCATGGGCAATTTGTCTCGCTTGACTTCGATCGAAGTCGATCGCGACCAAGAGCAGTCCAAGAGACGGGACTGGTATCATGTGGGGAAGAGAACCACATGGAACTTGATGGGATGGACCAGACTAGAAGTCGGCTTTCCTCTACAACAAGAGGTGTATCATTTGGGTCGTTCTTACCTGCAGAGCCAGTCCTAAAAACCTACCCATCATCATACTAAAGCAGGCCTGTCAGGTGTTTGTGACCCGTACCCACCACAACAGGTATCTGGACCCGATGTCAAGCACCGAACTCACATGGAACGTCAGACGGGCGCCCAGACGTCTCAAACCACTCTGAGGCATCGAGCGCCCGTTCGACTGTGGTCCTCTGCTCGACACCGGTGGTCTGGTTGAATCCCCTTCACTCACCTGGTGAGGATAATTGTTTTCCCGGTTGGACCACATGTTTGGGGACCCTGGACCGTCTGACCATCCAGACCACCCCATTGAAGGAAGACGAATGAAGTCGAGGGAATGGATCATTCCCGTTTGGGCTGCCCACACCCTCCGTTAGCTTCGATGCTTCCGGTGGTGCCAGGGGGGGTCAGTCCCCACCGCAGCGCAGGTCCTCAAGAGCGACCGGAGGTCAAGCAAGCAGCGGAGCCCGCCGCGAGGTGGCTGCGGCAGGAGTTCGCCACTTGGTATACGGAGAAGGAGAAGCAGCACGGTGCTTTTGGGGCAGACAAGTAACTCTTGGCAGATCTTGGGAGTATTCCTGGCCATTGAAGACTTACCTGCAGGTATGAGACCCAGCAGCCTCAGTGGACTACCTGCAAAGGTGAACTTTGTTTGGGGGGAATTGGTTCAACAAACTTGGGAATGCTGTTATGATAGTGGGTCGTGGCCTGGTTTGTGGCATACTTGGTTTTTCTCATGTTTCTCTTCGGGCAGGCATCATCACTCACTCCCGGTGTTTGATTCCTTTGGGTTACCTGAGTTCCTTCGTTCGGACATCGCTCACGACCCGGGGTCGAATCAAAGGTCCGTCTGTTGGGGAGGGAGCCTGGAGCGGAGCCTGGCGTGGAGCCTGGCGTGGAGATGGTCATTGAAAAATCCCATCCATCGTGATACATGGAATGGACGCTGGGCCCCTGGGCTCCACAAAAAAAGGAGAGCCCAGTCGTCTCAGTCGTAGCTCCTGATGTTTTCAGGGTTCATCTCATCTGATGTTCTATGACATACAGAACGTTCTAGGGTAGCCTAGGCCCCAACTTAGGGGTATGGGTAGGGTAGGCCCTAGCTAGGCCTATGCCTTCTAATACGTGGAGGGTGGAGAGAGTTGCATTGGGAGTCCAGTTGGTCAGGTGAAGTTGCCCACGGGCTGGTGGACCGATCAACTTGAGCCGGAGCTGCCTGGCATGGCACGGTGGCAATCTGAAGCCAAGCAGGATGGTCCAGGTATTATAGACCACCAGGACCCTCCAAGGCCGAGGGGTGTGTGTTTATATTAACCTCCATTGACTGGGAGGGTCCTGGCATGATAGGATAGACCCGTATACTGGTATACATCATGCCATATGCATCCATATGCACCATGCGCAGCGGGTGTTCTCCGAGCCAGACGATGTCGCAAAGAGAGAACAACTCGACTCGTTGGGACATGGATGCACCGTCCGAATCCTAGGTGCGGGTTGGTCATTGTCAGAGCATGCCCCTGCAAAACAGGATAGAGGATAGATTGGATCTGGAATCATTGCCTAATAAATTTATGTATATAATATATATACACTATATATAATTATAGAGTGTTATAAAGTTATATTATATATATATACATATAATCAATTGAGGGCCTATTCAATGTTCTTTTCTCTTCTCCACTCCCCTTCCCAAGACATTTTCTGCTCATGTTGGCTCATGTCTTTGGCAGTTTGCCCGTTCTGTGAGACGTATTGGATGGGACTTGGGCCAAATGCCTCTTCCAATCACGATGCCATGCAGGCAGGCCTTCTCCTGTTCTGGCCATTCATCTTTGGGATCCTTCCTCATGAAGGGATGTTGCCAATTTGGTCTTTGGTATCCCTCCTCATGATGCATCAATAAAGCTCCAACCACTTCTTCCGAAGGTGTTTAGGGCCCGCATGGACCCCCCCCAAATCCAACCACCCCAACCATCTTCGAGGCCCTCAGGTAGGACAGGAGCCCGAGAGATTCAACAAGACGAAGAGGGTTCTCCTGGAACCTTGGACCCTCTCCAAGACGTCTAAGACGTTCTGAGACCCTTGCAAGGTCCACATACTTTCCCGTTCAAGTCTTCTGCATGTTTCTGAGCCGAAACTCCAAAACAGGTTGTCTTGCACCCTCATGTTCCAAGGTACTTTCCTCAAAACCCCCAGGTTTCACCGACTCCACTTGACCATGAGGTCCGACTCCACCATTCACCTGTTTGGACTTCATTTGTCGACTCGCTCAGGATGGCCGTGCTACCGCTGCGCGTGGCCGGCGCTTTGCAGCCCGTGCCTCGCCGGGGGGTGTTATCCATGGAGGTTAGGGGTGCCCAGAACATCCACTCACTTAGGGACTAAACACCACCCCGTCTTGTGACTGCTGGAGCTCCAAAGCTCTGCTTATATGTGGAAAAACTGGTGTACACTCCACAGCTCCTCAAGGCTCAAATATCCAAGTGGATGATTGATGGCTTGGCCAAGACTGGGCTACTGTAGCCGGCGTTTCAAGGTTAGAGCTCAGGTTGTGGCTTTCCCCAAGGTCTCAGTGTGTTCTGCAGTACCGGGTTGATTTTGCTTATGATACCCCTTTATTGCTAGACATGCCATAACAATTTGAGTGTTGGTTTTTAAGCACATGAAAAAGCAGTTCACCCTGGTTTGTCCCTGACCTAGCACCATCCATCCCCCACGTCACGTAACTCACAAAAGGAATGGAACTGTCTAGTCATCTCGCGGGGATGTACCCCTCCACAATAATATCATAGCCCCTTTCAGGAAGGTTTGGGAGACGATCGTTTCCTTCATGACCAGGTAGGGCTATGGCTAGTTTTAAGGGAGCCCTTTGGGATGAATCTTTGATTTGTATATCTATAATTCTTGGACTGATTCACAGCCACATCGTGACAGACTTCAGGTTTTAGCCATTGTGGGTGCCAATGAGAACCTTGGCTGAAAATCCCCACTGCATGCAGTCGCCACACTTGTGTGCTGTGCACATGGGTAGTCCCCCGGCCACCGGTGGTGGTGGGTGCCGTCCGATGATGGAAGCTCTAGTCCAAGTCTCCACATCAAGACCTCAGGATTAGGAAGAAATCCCTGACCGGTGGAAACCAAAAAAGAACAAAAACGCCTCACCCCAACGCTAGAAGACGCTGCAGCGTCTTGTTCAGCGTGCTGGTTTGCCTGTTCAGCGTGAAGAGGCAGACAGTCGAGGCAGACGTTGGACGATGGACTTGATCATCCATACCCAGACGCTCATGGGCCAACTATGGAGGGGTCGGACCCGAATCCTCAGGAGGGGTCGGAGGGGTCTCAAAACCGGTTTTGAGGGACCTGTCGTGTGTCGTTCACGGAGCGTCTGGGATATACGGAACTGAATTCGCCGCCGACCTCGGACGGGACGACTCGGACGGTCTTCAATCGGGGATCCGCAAGATGTATTTCGGGTCCTGCTATAGAGGGGCCCAGTGGATCGTCATAGTTACCGACTTGTACACTTAACCGGCTCGAAGGGCCAATCAACCGCAGTCCTAGACCAGGACCTGAGCCGAACTCGGCTCCACAGCGGAACTCGTGTCATCCAGTGACTCTTTACAGGCCTTGGTCAGTGACCTCATCCCAAGGACGGTCGATGGTCCGGACGAGAAACCCTGGCTCCTCAAGAGTTATCCCGCGCGCTTCAGCGATCCAAGCATCAGCTGCTTTTCCATTATCGCAAGAACCCCTAGCGAAGTGTGACCACACTGTTTGGGGAAATCAGGATCAATTCTGCCACAAATCTGCCAAACTTAGCTGCCAATCGAAAAGGCAGAGGTGTTCTGCACCAATTTCCCAAAGATCCAGGTTTTGTTTTGCACCCCGGCATCCAGCGAACCAAAAAGGCTGGACAGTCAGACGGTTTTTCTAACCCGAAGTCGTTTTACCGAAGTCCGACTCCTCTCCGAGGTCTTCTCGGACCCTATCAAGGAGCCCCTCCAATTTTGGGGTTCCCCGTCAGATTCCTGGGTTTCTCCGATTGGGGAGGTGGGCTCGATTTCCAGACACTTCAGTAGGGCGCGAGATCGTCTCGCGGCTAGGCGTAGAAGTTAAAACCATTGTTTATAATTAGGATCTATTCAGTGGCGGAATGAAGGGAGGTTGTTGATTTCCAGATAGCCCTCAGCGACCTCTGAAACCACCCAAATAGCATTTTAAGGATAGAAAATTACAGTGGTTTCAGAGTAGATGGCACTGGCATGCACTGGCACCCCAAAATGTCATAGACAGATGGAGGTCCATATTGTATACCTACAACCTCCGGTCGTGCGAAATTATCGCTCGAAGTTGAAACATTGTGTTTTTTTGGCGTTTGCAATTATTTTAGTTCGTTTGTTTTTTTTTGGTTCGTTTGATTTATCTTTGATGAACACAGCTTCATTATGTTCCTTCTCGCCTGCAGCCTCGCCGCTTTCCCACCCCCAAGGTTCTGACTGAACATCCAAAGAATGATGCAACATAGAAAGGTTGAGGTCGGGCCCTCACATGCTCAAACAAATCGGGCCCTGACTGAACATTGGTCCCTTCCCACGGTCAAGACTCAAGACCTCTTTTTCCAGCCAACCCGTCAGTGCCAATCACAGCACTCAATCCAATTGGTTCTCCTTTACAAAGCGTTGATGCATCAAACGAGATTTCATGAAACAACACTCAAGGACACGTTGCCCAATCCTCCGACTGTCAAGTCGCCTGGACAGGCGACACACTCGTCCTATGTAATCTTCGTTTTGCTCGCAGTTGTGCACGTTGTAATTTGGCAGAGTCTCCAAACCTGCTGCCAGCCACTCATGCATTTCAAGATGAGCGTGCTTCATGAGATGGAGCTTGGGCTTCACAGCCCAACCATTGAATTGGTCGTTCAAGCACCTGCTTGCTAGCATCCCGTAGCCAACAACAAATTTTGTCAGCTCAACCTGCGCAGCCATTGCACACGGCCTCCGGAGCCACAAACCATGGTGATTGAGGACAGAGAAGTAGTCAACTGCAGCCAAGCAGGTCTGGCGCATCAGCTTCAAGTCAACAACATGAGCTGGATTGAGCGGAGCATTGATGAAGCCAGCGCACTGAACAGCAATGAAGGACAGCAAAACCATGGTGTCACTGCCCTTCGTGTTTGCCCACGGGTATGCACTAAACCGTGGGTACATGAAAAGGGCGCGGCTGAATGAGCGCAAAGCAGCTGTGCGGCCAACCGTAGTGCAGTACAATCTAAAAATCCCGTGGCATGTTTCCAGCTTGGCTGAAAAGTCCCCAGCATTGCCGTAGTACTGCTTGGCGACAAGCCAACAAATACAGCTGCCAGCTAGATCCCGATAGATGCCAACTTTGGCACAATGGAATGGATCTCTCTTGAACTGTTTTTCAGGCGCTCTCCGACAGAACGGCACTTCAATCACACAAGGAGGCACTGACCAAGGTCGCTGCGTATATCTTGAATTTGCCCAAACAGGATTCTCGCTCAAGTCTTCCCATGTAAGAGCTCCTGAGCCACCCATGCACTCATGGCAACAAGGTCTGTCACGGACCCTGCCCTGATTTTGAAATGACCGTTCCAAAGCGATCTTGCAAAACCACTTCAAATCTCCTTTGGCTGCGATCAGAGCAAAGCAGAACTGCTTACCTCCAATGGTCAAGCCCTCAAAGAAGAGCCGTTTGAAGTCAAGAGATATCAGCTTCAACATCTCAGGCAGCACCTGTGGGTGTGCATGGTGCACCACACTGGGAATGATGAAGAGCGCAAAGTGCTGAAGAAAACTGTGACCTTTCATGTTCGTCCACTGACAATCCAAGGCAGACAAAGTGCGAGCGTGCATCTCTTTGTGTTCTCTGTGGTACTTCTGCTTCATAGAGTCCGGAGGGTTGCACCCACACCCGCATCCAGCAGTATCAGTATGTTTCCTTTTTTTCTGTAGCGCAGTTTGAATGCCTATCGGCGATTCCAGCGAAACGACAACTGTATTCCCTCGTCGCTTGCCTCTCCCCTCATCTCCATGCCAGCACAATGGGATCACTCTCGACAGGGAACCGCCATGCTCCTCAAACACCATATGGTCGCCATGATGCAGCCTGAAACCCTGCCAAAAAGCATCAAGGTGTTGCGCCCTTTCTTGGGGACACTGCAAGCCTCCAACCAACACATCCACGTGTTTCTCCAAGAGGTATTGCAGCAAAGATATAGGGGAAACATAAGTCATGGGAACCACTTCTCCAGAAGGTGCTCGATAGTCATAGTTGCTAAGCTTCACATTCCAAGAAATCCCCATCCGCCTGAATGTATTCCAGCATGTTCTGGAAACATTCTTTTTCCAACCACTAGTGGCCGGGGCATCTTTGCTAGATGTGTAGCCCCGCCGGATGGCTTCTGCAGTTGTGCATGGGACCTCAGCCCGGCTTGGGAAAGATTTGACTTCAAAATCTGGTGTGGGAATCCTGGATCATTGTACAAAACATTGACTTTGGGCCTTGCCCAGGTGAAATAAGAAATTCCAACTCCCACATGTTAGGGCGCATAATGTCTCGTGTTTGAGCTAAGTTGAGGGCCCCATCAGCCACTGCATCGGCAACAGCTTTTAACCCATCATGTGGTTCGTCTTGTTCAACACCTGGCTCACTGTGTCATCGGAGAAGCTAAACACCTATCAAAACAAGTGGCACTAAAGGATCCGCTTCATTTGTTTCTCTCACGGCCGGCCACGAAAGCCTGAGACAGCTGCACCCCTGTCTTAGTGGATTGCCCTCACACCGCGTGAAGGATGAAAGCCGCTGTTTCGAAAAAAACAGGCGGTGAAAAGTCACATGCCAAAAGAGGATCGTCTCTCACAACCAAGGTGCTATGTGTGAACATGTAAAAGTACATTGCTTTGTTCTTTTTGGAGACTGCCCCCAGCATGGAAACCCCAGCAAGTGAGCTTCGAGCACATTGCACGTCTAGAAAATAACACGTTCAACAGAAGAAAAACCCTGCAACTCATACCATTCTTTTAGAACAACCACTGGTGTAAGCATACAAACAGATACTTTGCTGATAACGCTTAACTTGTTTGAAACAAAGCTCACTTTCTTACCCGCTTGGGTCTGGAACCTTTTGGCTCGCTTTCACCCTGAGGCCCGCTACCTTTGGACTTGCTAGCTGCTGCTGCCTTTGCTTTGGCCCTAACTTTGGCCGCAGCCTCGGCACCCTTCCCCGCTCTCCTCAGCTTTCCCTTTGACCCGCCGGAAGTGGATCCTTTTGGAATGAATGGCCTGGGCAGCCGGGTGACGGGTGAGGAAGGTTTGAAGTCTTGGGGCGCATGCCAAGTACTGTCATTAGGAGTTTGCTAATTTAGCTAATAGTTACTATAGGGACAAGTTTCTCACTAAGAGCTTTGTCCAAACCATGTCTCTATCGTGCCAAAGCCATCGAAACACCAACGACCACCCATGCCAATCCAGGCCTCATCCGGCTTTCCAAGCTTAATGCATCCATTGCCCTCGCAAAGCTGAGGTAAGAGCGGTGTCAAACTATCACTGCATGGGGTTGAAACTTGTGTGAAGGTGTTTTCTGTCGAAACAGGACATCAAACAGATGCTTTCCCCTTCCAGTCTCAAAAATTGAACCGCCGGTAAAACAAGGCCTGCTCCGAGCTATCCCGTAAAGTAGGTCCAACTCGTTTTCAGACCTTGCAGATTTGGAGAAATAGGGAAACAGTAGGTTTGCAGGGCACTGTGCACCAAGGGTTGGAAAAGGGCGCTGTGAAAATAGCTGGGACACAGACGCATCACTAAATCCGTCGATCACGCCGTCATGATATTGTTTCTCAATTTTGCTGGAAATGTCGTTCAAGCCCTCGACCACCTCCTTGATCTTGAGCTGCATCCTTGCCAGATGCAAGGTAGCAGAAAGTCATGACTGGACACAACAATAATACATCACCTGCACCAGGTTAGAGCCGAAACTCTTCCGCTGTAAGTCTGAAAGGCGGTCAGCAGACAAGAACTTCTGATAGCCAAGGTCAAGCTTGGAGACCCGCTTGGCCAAGCAGATCCTTGGAGCCAGGAGAAGGCCCACACGGATCTTGGGAATGCTGGCTGCTGAAGGCGAAACAACAATCAACATGAATACACTTGAATCTGGCACCGGGCGATGTTCAACAATAGGAGTTATGTGCCAGCGCTTGAACCTTTTTTGGGCTAAGTGTCAGGAATTTTGGCGCCGCAGAGCTGTTCAATGCATCTACATGGATCTCTGGTATCCCTGCCTTTTTCCGTTCCTTCCCTGCGGCCTCTTCAGCCGCAAGCTCTTGAGGGTCGATCGAGTCCTCATATTCATCATCGTCATCATCACCTTGAAGGGTTAAGCAAATGAGCAGTTGAGTCTTTGGGGTTTTAACACAGAGTCACCATAATGACCTTTCTGAATTTAGAAGTAGGTGTGAGCATAGGAACATTCACCAACCCAGCCTTCTTGGGCTGATTGAGCCTCTTGGTAGGATGGAGCTGGGGAAACCATTTGACCCCTCTTGGGGGTGACCTTCGCCACCTGCACTGGGGGTGAACCCTTGCCACCCTTGCCCCCCTTAGCTTCAAGAGATGTGGGTGGAGCAGTTTGAAGCTGCACAGGCATCTTTCCCTCCAAGCACTCAGGAGCGTAGTCATCAAAGTTGGGAGGTTCCTGGGTCCACTGCATCCTGCGATTCATTGAGAGCTGGCTCATATGCCTAAGTGGGCAGCAGGAGGTGAAGGGAGTGCTAATACTAGTGCTAACATAACACAATGATTCCATTTTATCATGGGAGAATTGCGATGCGCTTAGTAAGGTACTTGTTCGCAGTCTTCACATGCATCTCCGCCCAATAGAACACCTTTTTCTCATACCTGCATGTCCTGCAAAGTCAGAAAAGAAATGTGAAACCAATCACCGGCACTAGATCAAACATGCTAGTAGGAAGTCCATGGAAAGTTCAACCAAAAAATATCATAGGGGTGGTGATTGGTTGCCCGTGTTCGAAGTCATTTGATTCCAAACTCGGTGGGCAGTCCTCATCAGAGTCTTAGGTGCCTTCTTAGCTTCAGAGATTATAGCAGCGATCTTGGGCCTTAAGGAGCGAGGGCATTTCTTTCATCAAGCTCGTAATGATCTAGTTTCAGTGACACTGGACATCACCCAATCAACCCAAGGCAAGTAACTCTGAGAATTTCAAGGTATCGCGCATGTACGACTCGGAAACAAATTCTCCTTCTATGGTCAAGGAGTTCTGGAGCATGTCCTGTCTCAGCAATTCACACTCCTCCACAAACACCTCCTTGCAGGGTTGGCAAGGTGCTCGATACAGTGACCTTTTTCTATCAGAGAAAATGAGATAAACAAGTTTGGATTTCAGTGGGAGTCCCGTTGGATGGGGTGTCAGTCAACAAATCCCACCCTGTCCGGCTTAAAGCCACAGCTTTGAAAAAGCTGCTGCAAAGGCTTTCGAGTCTTCTTGTTCCGCCACTGGGCAACAATCTCTGAGCTCACCTTAAACTCACCTTTGACATTGGGTTGGAAAATCCGTTTCATACGTGATTCTGCCGCGACCGGTGAGATTCGAAGCTCTCCCGGGATGGGGCGCTGAGCCTTTCTGTCACTGATGTCCGGGATCTGCTGCCAGGCATCCTGTGAGCCTGGACCGGCTGCACCTTCGACAGGCTGTGCCTGGCCAGCTTTGATGGGGAAGGGAAAGGAAGCCTCACCAATTTATCTGTACATTGGATATTGGAATCTTACCAAAGTTTCAATGACCAGTTATCTTTTTCTAATCCGTGCAAAGGGTGTGTAAACGAATGGCTATCCAGCCTTGGGGGCAGTTGGACCACCAGCATGACTAGGCAATGGTGCGGGCTCAGCAGCACCCACAGGTTCCGTTGGTACTGCCGTTGCAGCTGTAGCCTCCGTCGGTGCAATTGTAGGACCACCAGCAACCTGGAAAACGAAAGACACATGCGATGCCCAACAACTCAATTCACACAACACAGGCTGAGTCCTCTCAACCTGTCTTCAAGACTATTACAGGAGAATCAACCCCTCGAAAGTCTTTGGAATTTGTTTTGGACAGCCAACCTGTTCTTGGGACGCCTTCTCATGGACAGGGATATTATCAGCAACCTTCCCAAAAGCATTGCGAAGATCCTGCACCAAAGGCCCATCAATCTCCTCCTGAGCATCATCAGCTAAACCACCCATCCCCGCTCCCTGAACAGCTTGCGGAGATCCCCCACTTGCGAGGTTTTCATCGATCGCCTCCAGCTCCAGCGAAAGTGCCTTGGCAGAGGCGAGGGTTGGAATAGTTTGGACGCTATGAGTGGTCAGGGGGTGCACAGTAAAACTTGAGAATAGAAAACAAACGTAACTAGGTCAAGTTCAAGGTACTTCATACTCATCAAGAAGAGTTTGATCCTCTTCATTCTTCACCAAAAGCCCTGTAGGTTGAGAGCTAACTGCACGCATTCCCGACACGAGGGTTTCCGAAGACCAAATAGCACTACGAAGGCGCTTGTGTGGCTGTTCTGTGGGCATGGTCGCTCTCCCTCTCTCTCAAACCTATGGTAGCTTGAACCCAAGACCTACCCAAGAGCAGCAGAGGACCCCATCTCCCTTGACACTGCGCTGCTTCCGCCACAAAACATAACAAGAGGCAAAGTGTTTTCCAAATTGGCAAATCAGTCGCTGCTGTAAGCACAGCAGAGTAACATAGTTAAATTGGCAACATGTTGGACACATTGGGCCCCATTTGTACTAGCACAAATCCACTAAAAATAAAATCCGCGCTTTGACCGGGTAAAAGCGCTCTTTGACCGGGTAAAAGCGCGTTTTCAAATTTCTGGTATTGGGAACGTCTTTCCACATCGACCTGCATTGTTTTATCATGGGGCCCAAGTCCCATCCCTCCAGATCTAAAGGTATGGCCACCATTCTTCCGGTAGCTTCAAGTATTGTGATCTCTTGACATACTCGATCACTGGCCCCAGCTCCCCCTCAGCGCATTCACTCCAAGGCATCGATCCCACCAACAGTGGCAACGGTGTGTCTCATCAACCTCGGAGGCTGCGAAGGGCAGGGGGCAGGAAATGTGATAGCAAGGGCAGGTACTGTATGAATGCGCCCACACTTGGAAAATTAACACATAAGTGGTAGCATCAAACAAGGAACTTGCATGTCCACACATGGAGGGTACTTTGCCATGTCCGGGAGGATTTTCATCACTTTTGCAGCAAATCGTGCCGGGTAGATCCTTACAATGCAGGATTC